TTGGGATGCCCGTCGGGTAGTCCCATCAGCCAAGGCGTCAATCAGAGGCCACTGACCTTATGCCGGATCCTCATGCGCTCTCTACCGTAGTTCAAGCCGTCACAACCGTCAACGTGAGGAGGCCAAACCGTTTTAAACAGTCCTTGGGTGATTGGCTTACTTGAGGTTCCGTGGTACAAGTGGACCTGGCGGATCTTCGCGCTCTCGCCTTTCAGAAACCGCGCTCTCTTGCCTTCTTTTCCATGTGCTCAAGACTCGCGCTCTTGCTGACGAATTGTGCTCTCCCGTGGGACTTCCTTGCAATTCGAGCAGGCATCGCGCTTTCGCAACTGGGCGGGCCGGCCGGGCAGTCCCTCCCGTGAGGGTCCGCCCGCCAGACCCGACGGTTATGGTCCGCCCTCCAGGCCCGCCGTCGGCGCTCTCCCGCCCGATCCGCCCGTTCGTGCGGGGCGCGTCGGGGGTCGACCGGCCGACCCCGACCCTCACAACCTGGCAAACCACCCCAACCCAACCCGAAGGCCTCAATTTGCCCTCCATTTCCAGTGGGGGGGGGGTCGGGGAACATCGAAAAAACACATATGGAGCCCATACCCCCCCCAACCCGAAACTCGGGCCTTCGGGCTGGGTTGGGGTGGTCTGGTAGGTAGTCAGACCCCGCCCGCCCAGCGTCCCGCCCGCCCGACCCTCCCGTCAGGGTTCCCCCGTTCGCCTGGTCGGCAGCTCGCCCGCCCGCGTCGGCGTCCCGCTCGCTTAGGCGCCAGGGCCCACTCGCCCAACCCGCCCGTCAGGGCCCGCCCGGCCCGCCTGTTTCGGGATCCGCGCGCCCGACCGGCTTGTCGGACCCTGTCGTTTTTTTTTTGTTTTTTTGTTTTTGTTTTTGTGTGTGTGTGTTGTTATACATATATATATATATATAACAAATAATTTGTTTGAGCGGATCGTCTCTCCCCACAGGGGGGGTACGTTGACAGACGAAGAGGGCGTGAGTAACGGGCTTGGGGTGTACATGTTGAGTGATTTTCGAGCATGGTTATTGAGCTCTCATTTCTGCCTCCCTGCCCCGTGCGCATTCTCTGTCATTAGTTGAGGTGCGCCCCTTGATGTTCACACGTTTTTTCCCAACCAACCTGTTGTTGGGTCCTCGTTTTGAAGAGACAGTCCCCGCGTTCCTCTCCTCTCCTCTCCTCCTTCTCCTCCCCGCTCCCTCCTCCCGTCACCCCCCTCACTTCGGTACACACCCCTCACGTTTCGTGGCCCCCTTAGAAGTTCAACCGTGGGCCCCAGTGGCGCAGCCCGCATGCGTCCCCGCCACGCATTGCGGAACACACCTCTCTCGTGGCCCCATAGGGAGTTCCACCGAGGGTCCCCGTGGTGCAGCCCGCATGCGTCCCCGCCACTCAGTTCGGCACGCTCCTCGCACGCTTCGTGGCCACATAGAGAGCTCCACCGAAGGTCCCAGCGGCGGTGCCCACATGCGTCCCCGCCACCCATTCCGGCACACCTCTCACACGTTTCGTGGCCCCACCGGGAGCTCCATCGAAGACGATCGATCGTCACCAATGCTTTTTATTCAATCGCTTCGCTCATTCCGCCGGCCCATATTGCAGCATCACTGGCGCTTGCCTGCGTGCCCGGGGGGTATTTGGGGGGCCTCCTGGGGCCGGTTGGGGGGCCTCTTGGGGGCATCCTGAGGGCTTCTGGGGGGTCTCTTGGGGCTTCTTAGGGGCCTCTTGGGACCTCCTGGGGGCTTCTTGGGGCCGAGGGCTGGAAATGTTGTTTCGTGTTCCCCCTCTTGGGGCGTTCTTGGGGCCCTCTTGGGCCGTCTTGGAGACCTCTTGGGCCGTCTTGGAGCCCTCTTGGGCCGTCTTGGGGCTCTCTTGGGGGCCTCTTAAGCCCTCTTGGGGCGATCTTGGAGTCGTCTTGGGCTGTCTTGGGGCTTCGGGAAGCGGAAAAGGTGGAAAAGCCAAAATATGTCCAAAACCGAAGGAAAAGCAATGAATTTTGCCTCTTGGGGCCCTCTTGGGAGTACGCTTGGAGACCTCTTGGAGCGTCTGGGGGCCATCTTGGGCGTCTTGGAGCGATCTTGTGGCATCTCGGACGCCTCGTGTACCATCTTGGGGACCTCTTGCGGGCCTCTTGGTTTTGTTTGGGTCCTCGGGGACGTTTTCGGAGCCCTGTTGGTGCGCTCGTGGAGCGCTCGGGGGGACCCGGCCGGGGACCGGCCGGGACCTGGTCGGGGTACTTTTCGTCTGGGGACCCCCAGGGGCCGCCCCGCGCGCGCGAAGTAGAAACATTGTAGAGCAGTTACCGGAGATCTTAGCACGCCTCTGGCCCGTTGGGCCGGCGAATTCGCAATCGCATATGCTTGGGTCCTTAGCCAGGCTAATTGGCTCAGGGACAATCCTTCTGGTCGAACTGTGTTGCTGGCGCCTTGGACTACAGCAGCAACGGCTCCCACCAGAGACTTCCACAATCAGCTCAGGAACCGCGCTCTCGCTCGAGAGTCCCTTGCTATTTACTCAGGTATCGCAGGTGCTGCTGTGGTTTTTGCTGTTGCTGTTGCTGTCAGGGCGTTGGAGTTCTGATCTCTTCTTCCGTGTGACGGGCCAGAGGGGGGGGCGACGATCCCTGCCTCCCCTGGAGGCTCTAGACAAGGCGCACCTGCTGGAGACCACACACGACTCCGAAAAAGTACTCCAGATTTCGTAATAAAGGGAGGGGGGTCTCATTTCGGGGGGGGTCTCTTCCAAGCTATCTTGGAGGGCCTGGGGGGTCTGGGGACGATGTTTTGGAGGGTTCTCCCACGTGGGAGGTCTGACATGGCTTGTCTTGGAGGGTCCAGACCCCCTCCCTTTTATTACGAAATTTGGAGTCACTTACGACAGCCGCAGCACATCTCAGACTTAGAGCAGCACGCCTCAGCACACACCACCGCCCGACCCTCCTCCACCCACACACGCAGACGCGACGGGCAGGATTTTTGCGCAAGAGCGCGTTCGGCCCTGCATCCGTACGGCCAAGACGGTGACGGAGGAGGAGGAGGAGGAGGACGAGGAGGAGGAGGAGGAGGACGAGGAGGAGGAGGAGGAGGAGGAGGAGAAGAATGAGGAGGAAGAGAGGAGGAGGAGGAGGAGGAGGAGGAGGAGGAGGAGGAGGAGGAGGAGGAGGAGGAGGAGCGCACGTGCCTTAAGGAGGAGGAGGAGATAAGGACCGCTTGGTGATCAGGATGGACTTCGGTGTCTGGGCAGCTCCTTCGATCTACGTCTGAGAATCTGCTCGTGGTCGGGGCTCGCCGCGGTCAGAACAGCACCCTCGTTTCCTTATCCCGCTCCTCACGGTCGGGCGAGGACTGTCTGTGCACGCAGAGGCCGCCTGGAGAACGCAGGACCGTCTCACCTCCGGCCGCTTTCGCCTTGCCCTGCTCCCTGTCCCGGCCAGGCGACTCCTGCAAGCCGGGGTGGGGTGGGGGGGCTGGACCGAGCGGGCCCTCCGAGGCCACGACGGGCTCCTCGGCGTCGGCGCGCGCAGCTTCCTGCTGTGGTGCCTTCCCCGGAGGGAGGAGGAGAAGGGTGAGTCGGGAGCCTTGAGACGGGGGTCAGCCAGGGCACCAGATCCTGCAGGATCCTGCGAAGATCCCCTCTGACTGACCCTGGTTAGCGAGCCGCTTGTGGCCGCGAGGCGGCCACACATATTGGCTGACCCGGGTTTGCGAAGCCCTGCGTTGCAGTTTTTGTTTCCTGCATTGCAGTTTTTGGTTTCCTGCTGACCCGGGTCTGGATTGACCCAGGTTAGCAGATCCCCGAATGAGGAGGATGATGCGGAGCATGCGGTGGAGCAGTAAACCGAAGACGCATGAACGATGCTGCAATGCACCTTCCCGTCCTTCGGGAGAGCAGTAGTGAATGTGAACATATGTGATCACTCAGTTCACTGAGGTGTCCACCTGGATGGCCGTTTTGGAAAAGGGCCGCCCCCCTATCTGTTTAATATTGTTGCGCAAGCTTGCACTTGTGGGCATGGACTTCAAGGAATGTTCAAGCGAGAGCCGTATTTTGAACATGAGCCGCCTTCCACATGCGCAGCTGTATCACATGCTCCGTTTTATGTTCTTTCAGATTCTAGAAGTCCAAATAGAACACGCTATGTTAAGAATAACTCGTCTTCCATCCATGCAGCCGCTGGAACTTTCAACATGGATGTGCGCGTCGCTAAGGCAATTGTCACTTGTTCGAAGAGGGGCCGCCCTCCATTCATGAAGATGTTGCATAGTTTTAACACAAATGTGTACGGCGCTGAGGAAACATCTCCGTCTGAAAATAAGCAACCTTCCAACTTTGAATCGGTTGTGCTGGAGCTCCCTATGGGGTCACGAAGCTTGTGAGGTGTGTTTGTGTGCCACAGTGGACAGGTGGCGGCATGTGAGCGCAGCCGCTGGGGCCTTGGGTGGAGCTCCCTATGGGGCCACGAAACATGTGAGGGGTGTGCCAAAGTGGACAGGTGGCGGCATGTGAGCGCAGCCACTGGAGCCTTGGGTGGGGCTCCCTCTGGGGCCACGAAACGTGTGAGGGGTGTGCCAAAGTGGACAGGTGGCGGCATGCGAGCGCAGCCACTGGTGCCTTCGGTGGGGCTCCCTATGGGGCCACGAAGCGTGTGAGGGGTGTGCCAAAGTGCAGGGGGGGACGAGAGGGTTGAGGAGGAGAGGAGAGGAGAGGAGAGGAGAGGAGGGTCGGGGCACCGTCTCTTCCAAACGAGGACCCAACACCACACTATGGTTGGGCAAACATACCGGGTGCGTGCCCCGACGGAAGCATCTGAATTGGAACAATAGAGTGAAACCAGATGGGGGTGATCAGCAATCATTATTGTCTAGAGGTGGGAATTCAACAACAGCAGTCGGCGCACCCAGGGACAGTGAATGACCGTTTGGCCCACTCTCTTTGGTGTTTACCGTTTCTATTAGCAGAACTTCGAAAACACACGGGCACATTTACCATAGGACTGGGAACGAACGCGTGTGCGGGACATCCACAGTTGAGCCATTGACAGGGCCATTGACCTTTGACACTTAACCATCGACTCTCTTGACATTGACGTGCATTCGATAATCGCACCCTTTGACATTAATTGATGTTTGCCATTGCGAATCTGACCATTTGACGCCAGCTGATATTTGCAATTGGGAATCGGACCACATGGCTCAAACTAAACTTTTCCCATGGTAATGGGACCATGTGACGACTCGGTTGGTTTTCTTGCCGTTGCCAAACTGATTTTTGACCACTGCTTCTACCGAGTATTAGAATATCTAGGGCTGCGCCCACCGCGATTCCTAGGGCGACCAGCGCAAGGGGCGCGCCGAAGTGGAAACGAGAACTGCGTTTCCTGCCAGCCGCCTTCGACCGACTCCCACCAGGCTTCGCCCTCTCCGCCGCCCCGCGACGGGCCGTCTGAGGGGCGCGCCGAAGTGGGCGACGCCCGCAAGGAGAGATGCGTTTTGATCGCCAACCGCCAACAATAACACCATCAGCAACCAGCACAACCAAACACAACATTAAAACACATCATCGACGACAACACTCATTCGACAACTGTTCGCTCTTATACTTCGGTGTATCATCATCGCGCGCCTCCCAAACCCTCGATGCTCGCGCCCCATTGGGGGCATGTCGCCCCCGCCTGCATCGCGCGCATTTCACGCGGCCCCCCGCCCCAGCGGCGGGGGGAGAGAGGGCGGATGGGGGAAAGGGGCAAGGGGGGGTGGGTAATGGGGCGCGAGAGAGAGAGGACGAGAGAGAGAGAGAGAGGGAGAGAGAATAGCAAGGCAGGGTGCTAGGAGCAAGAAAGCATGCGAACCAGACGGTTAGATTTGGCGGGTGGGCCCTCACGAGCGGGTCGGGAAGGCAGGCCCGGGCGGCCAGGTGGAGCAGGCGGGTGGCCGAAGCGCGTGCTTTGCATGAATCGCGAGGACGTCTCGAGCGATGGCGCGATTCCCGTGTAGATCGCGAGGGAGGCCACAGCGAGAGCGCAATGCCTGAGCGCCGAGGGCGGGGCGTCTGATTTGATGGCGGGGAGGCCCCGCGCGAGGGCGCGAATTCTGCGCAACTTGCGAGGGGGTCCCGCGCGAGAGCGCGATGTGGGAATGCATTGCGAGGAAGAATGAGGCGGTGGCCACTGTCGCTGCAAACAAGGGGCCAGGGGTGCAGTTTGGCGGCATCTTGTCTGTCCTTATAACAACAGGGCGCGAGCTCCGGATGAAGAGTTTCAGTTGAATTCGAGGAATCCGTAAAATGGTTGCCGGGTTATCAGCGACAACTGTTTTTTTCGAGCTGGTAATTCAATGGGGCAGGACAGGGCCAACAATGACAAGGTCATGCCTTGCCAGACAGGACAGACCCGACCAGACGGGTGCCCTACCAGATATGACGGTTTCTGCCATACTAGCATGCACTGCCACGCAGGACAGACCCTACCAGACGGGAGCCATGCCCGACCATGGCGCAGCGTATTATTTCATAGTTTTTGTTGGCGTATTTTAGTTGTGGTTCTGCGCTTCACTTCGCGCGCGCGCGCGAGAACGCGCTCTTGGCGCGCGCCGTGAAGGCGCCATCTTCACGGACAGCGCGTTCGGCGACGTCCAGTGAATGAGCTGCGGCGCGCGCGTGGAGTCCCGCGGCGCGTTCCAGCGCGTCGCGCGCGGGGTCGTTCTCGAGTTCGGCGCTCCGTTCCGCCGTCGCCGCGCCGCCCCCGAATTGAGGGCGCCAGTCCTGCGCGCAACTATTGGCGTCGGGGAGCGGTTGCTCGCGGGCCGCGATTGCGCGAAGCGGCTTGCGCGCATGAGGCCGCAGGCAGTTGGGGCTGCGACTCCGGCGCGCGCGCGCGGGGTCTCGCGCAGGGGTAGATCGACGACAAGTGGCAGCCCGTCAACACGAACGGGGAGGCGGTTCAAGCAACTTTGGCCATCGGAGGCCAGTGCCCATCGACGTTGCCAGAGACGACGCCAGACGACCAAGAGCTGCGCCGCGAGGAGTGCGCCCTCGCTTGATGAGGGCGCTGGCTGCCGGCCGATTACGGCGGCTGCAGCGCCCGCAGCTAGCCGCGGAGCTGGCGCCTGCGACGACGAAGACGACGACGACGACAGCGATGACGACGACAACGACGACGACGACGGCAGACGCGACTTTCGACGATGACCACCGCCGCGAAGACGAACGCTACGGCAACAATGTGATAATTTCTAGAATCTGGAGTGGGATCGAATGCCCGCCCCCCGTTGCGCCAGGGAGCGCTTGGCCCCTGCTAGAGATCTGGATCTGCGGGCGCGGAGAGGACCCGCGACCGGCGAAATTGTCGGGGGCAGGGCGGGGGGGGGGGGGGCGGCTCGCCACGTGGGTCGCGAGGTGCATCGCGGGGCGCGTCGCGGGCGGGTCGCGGGCGAGGAAGGCGACGGCATCGGCGCAACGACGACGACAGCAGTAGCAACGACGGCAACCAATGAAAACACCCAACAACCAGAGAGGCAACCAACAACATCAACCAAACATCACACGCAAGGACAACAACGATATGACGATGACGGTGATGGCGGCGGCCATGACGATGGCGGCCTGTTTGCCTCAAATTATCGTTCAGCGGGTCCTCGGCATTGCTGTCCGAGACAACGTTCGGCGGTTCCTCAGCGCTGCTGTCCGAGACAACGATGGAGGTCGAGTACTCGGACTCGCCGCCGCTGGCGGACGAGCCGAGGGCCTCGAGGACGGGCGAGAAGGCGCAGTCTCGGTCCGAGAACCGCGCGGCCGAGCAAGCAGCCGTCGCAGGCCCCCGTCGACGTCGACGCCGCCCGCGACCCCCACCAAGCATGGCCCAGGCAAGAGGCGCCCCCCCTCGACGCACATGCAGATGTCGGCCCGGTCACCTAAGAAGGCGCGGGCCAGCCCGCGCGCCGCATTCGGCTTGGACAGCGCAGGCAATGACTGAACCGAGTTGGCCTCGGAGCAGCTCGAGATCACAGATTGCTTCCGCGCCGCTATCTGTTCTGAGTCGCACCCCGCAACCAGGCAGTTCCCGCTCGCTGCTCGCGCGGGCGCGAAGGGCAAGATCCGCGCGGGCGCCGCTGGAAGGAACTGCTGCCCCATCCAAATTCACTCGCGCAGCGGTGGCTGACCGCGCCAACTTCTCGGCGGGGAAAGGGGGTCAAGACGGCGTGGCAGATCCGCGTCGGTCATTGATCGACAGCGCACTCGACTGCCTGACGCCCCGTCCGCCCCGTCGCTTCTTCCTAAGGGGCGTTGCGAACCCGCTCGATGACTTCCCCGATTTGTTCGCCGGCCTTCTCCGTGCGCTGGCGTGTTGCCACGGGGCTGATGGCGCCGATTTGTTCGCTGCGTTTTTTCGGGGGTCTTTGGGCGTGGAGGAGCGCGGGGCGCCGCAATCCCGAACGAGGGCGTCCATCGCGGGCGCGCAGAACCGTGGCGCAAAGTGCGCGCCCAGCTTCGCGCGGCAGTGGCCAGCGGCGCGCCGGCCGCTTCGCGCCATCTGCGACG